GGGGGGGGGGGGGGGGTCGGGGGTGTGTAGTCTGAGCCACCTTCAAAAGTTATAGAATAAGGCGTTACAGGAGGCTATCGCTCTTCTAGAGGAACTCAAATTACCTGAGCACTTGGATTCCACTGCCATTCAGTGGGAGCTGTTGCTCTTCTATAGGAGCTCAAATTACCTGAGCCCTTGGATTCCACTGCCATTCAGTGGAGGCTGTCGCTCTTCTAGAGGAACTCAAATTACCTGAGCCCTTGGATTCCACTGTCATTCAGTGGAGGCTGTCGCTCTTCTAGAGGAACTCAAATTACCTAAGCCCCTGGATTCCACTGCCATTCAGTGGAGGCTGTCGCTCGTCTAGAGGAACTCAAATTACCTGAGCCTTTGGATTCCACTGTCATTCAGTGCAGGCTGTCGCTCTTCTAGAGGAACTCAAATTACCTGAGCCCTTGGATTCCACTGTCATTCAGTGTGAGCTGTTGCTCTTCTAGAGGAACTCAAATTACCTGAGCACTTGGATTCCACTGCCATTCAGTGGGAGCTGTTGCTCTTCTATAGGAACTCAAATTACCTGAGCACTTGGATTCCACTGCCATTCAGTGGGAGCTGTTGCTCTTCTATAGGAGCTCAAATTACCTGAGCCCTTGGATTCCACTGCCATTCAGTGGAGGCTGTCGCTCTTCTAGAGGAACTCAAATTACCTGAGCCCTTGGATTCCACTGTCATTCAGTGGAGGCTGTCGCTCTTCTAGAGGAACTCAAATTACCTAAGCCCCTGGATTCCACTGCCATTCAGTGGAGGCTGTCGCTCGTCTAGAGGAACTCAAATTACCTGAGCCTTTGGATTCCACTGTCATTCAGTGGAGGCTGTCGCTCTTCTAGAGGAACTCAAATTACCTGAGCCCTTGGATTCCACTGTCATTCAGTGTGAGCTGTTGCTCTTCTAGAGGAACTCAAATTACCTGAGCACTTGGATCCCACTGCCATTCAGTGGGAGCTGTTGCTCTTCTAGAGGAACTCAAATTACCTGAGCACTTGGATTCCACTGCCATTCAGTGGGAGCTGTTGCTCTTCTATAGGAGCTCAAATTACCTGAGCCCTTGGATTCCACTGCCATTCAGTGGAGGCTGTCGCTCTTCTAGAGGAACTCAAATTACCTGAGCCCTTGGATTCCACTGTCATTCAGTGGGAGCTGTTGCTCTTCTAGAGGAGCTCAAATTACCTGAGCCCTTGGATTCCCCTGCCATTCAGTGGAGGCTGTCTCGTTTCATTAATAATATCTTCTGGAATCGCAGGGTTGGCGAAACAATAGTCTTGCATTCAAAATCTATATATGGTGAGGATTGCTCATCATTACCTAAGGATCAAGCATGCTCTTACTGGAGCCTCTATTTATAATGACAAAAGAGAAGTTGCTGATAATGATGATGAACTTTGATAGTGAAGACGACACATGGTTGATTCAAAAGCGCACTTACTGAACAACAGTATTCGTAGACACGATATACTCCACTTCCTTAGTCCAAGGATTACGAAAGCCAAAACACCGAGACTTCAAATGTAGAAAAGTTCCGTTTTTAACCTTGAACCGGTACACATCAGTTTCGATTTTTTCTTTGGAGGACAAGACTGGGGATAGAGAGAGGCACATTATTGTTAATTAATATCATGTCAAACGATGTGAACACATACCCACAACCCCCCCTCTCTCTCTCTCTCTCACACACACAAACATACACAGAGAGAGCGAAAGAGAGAGAGAGAGATATAGAGAGAGGGAGAGTAGAGAGAGAGAGAGAGAGAGAGAGGAGAGAGACAGAGCCATGGACACACACATGTTGACGTCATCATCTATCCTTCCATTCCAGATCATGCTGCTAAAATGCAAACGAGATGTTGAACAGGGTTCAAGCCTATTAACAATCGCGTTTTCTATTTGGCCTGGTTTTTGTGGCCAAATACAATTTCAGATTCACACAGAGGGGGAGGAAAGGGAAAGGGAGGGGGGGGGGGGGGGTGGGGGGTGGGCATGGACAGATTTCGTATCTAATTTAACATGTGTAACAGGTGGGATATGCTTAGCCTGGTAATAATGTGGGTTTGGCTACACTTGCGAACTAAAACTGGCAGGTTTGCAGGCTGGGACTCTCCGGAAGTGGTCAGTCAGTCGAAAAGTTGATTACAAGGCACAGCGCAGCAGAGAAGACTCTCTTTGCTCTTTGGTCTGGCCAGTCGCCCTAGGACCATGTAGTCCCCCTATCGCTGCGGAACTGTGCAGGGTTCTCAACACAATGTAGGTACTGGCTCACTAGTTTCGTGTTTGGTGGTACGTTCAGCAGGTAGACTGTTAGATCTAGATTTGATTGGTACATGGTATGTTCGAACATGTTGTTGATTGTTAATGTATAGTTATCTGCGAAGCACGCTAGTTTTATGTTTAGGAAATTCAACAGATATTGAAAGTGATAATTATATTCCATTTGTTTGATTCAGAATAAGACTCTTGATGGTGATCAGTGTAGGCGCTGCCTGTGAAATCATATGTTGTAGAGGTTATATAATTCACTATTCACATGATTCATCACCTGAGCCATAAGTAATATTTCATGCTTCCTGCACCAGAAGAAGTTTTCTTTACTTTTCCTGTGTGTGTGTGTGTGTGTGTGTGTGTGTGTGTGTGTGTGTGTGTGTGTGTGTGTGTGTGTGTGTGTGTGCATTATAATGGAGAACTACTTACTGTCCTAATCACATTTCTTATCTTGTTTCCTAATCCTGTTTTATCCCCTTTTCGCTTCCCACAACCTTACATGTGTTATCTCTAACACTGATATAGTATAGCATTTGATGTAAACTCAGTTTGTTATATTTGAAAGTACTTGCAAGTACTTAATTAGATGCACAATCTTGCTCGCTTGCTTTTAAATTTTCCATCGAGTATGGTTCATTATTAGTATATGCCTTTTCGTATAAGAAAAAAGATTCACTTGTAATTTTTTTTTTACATTTTCTTTAGCAACTCTTCATTCCTAGTTTTTTTTTTCTTCAGAATCTCTGTGTTTGGTTGTTTTTGTTTCCGTGATACACGACCTCTTCATCTCTCCATCCACAACCCCTGAGACTCAGTTTGATGTTACAATTGAATGCACAGTCTTTATCACAAGCAGATATTCATGTAAAGCATATTCCGAGGACAGAGTCACAACAATCGGAAATACACATTTTCTAGAAACAGGTTTTATAAAACCAAAATACTTAATTCTTTGCTATCTGAAATTTAACACATGCCAGTAAAATTTGCAGAACAATCAAATTCATAGCATGAAAGTTTAATGCATTTGAAAACCAATGCTTAATGGTAATGTATGAACATTACATGGAATGAATTCAAGACAGGTGAAGAAATAAGAGAACTGTCTGAACAAACGTTGAAAATCAAAGTTCTAAGAGAATGACGATGGCACTTTCTGAGGTGAGGCGGACAAGGAATAATACTACAACCTTTGAAAGGGGAAACAGACGGATGAAGTAAACGAAGATGTTCAATAGAAACCATACGACGGATGTCGACATGAGAGGCCATAGTTACTGAAGTCGAAAATCTGTGCAGGATACAACAAAATGGGGTCATCGACAGTGAGCCTTATGGGACATGTAACCGGCACAAGACAAATTGTGCAGTATACAACAGAATAGGGTCAACAGCTTACTAGTGATTAATTGTGTAATTATTTCCTTTTTTGTGGCAACTGCACTGAAACATTGACACTTGTGTCTGAACTGTACGACAAATGTGAAAGTTGAACATTTAGGTTTTTTAAAGACTCAAATGTGTGGTAATCATTCCACATACATGATGTATCTCATAAACCTCCATTTTAGTCAAACAGGACTGCAGGACCACATAAATCAGCTACACGACAGTTGCCTTAATCATTACACGAAGATCAATATTGTCATAAGAATAAGAAGAAAGCAACAAACCATAGACATAAAGATCAAAGTCTGAAACAAGAGCAAGAATTTCAATACTTGGGAAGCATTTTTACATACAATGGTAAAATAGACAGAAAGATAGAAAAGAGAATCCTACAAGCCAGTATTGTCACGTACCAGCTTGCTCTACTTTTTAAACTCCCTGCTAATCCATTAGAGGCAAAAAAGACAAATTATAAATACGATATTTATACTGGCTTTAGGTTACCAGTGTCAGACTTAGGCATTGCCAAATAACACGAGAGAAAACTAACCACCTGTGAGGTGAGATGTTTGAGAATGGCTGTGAAAAAACCCAGACGAGATTGCATGAGAGACGACGTGATCACAGGAACTGTTGGAACAACACCCATTGTAGAAATTTATTGAGAAACAAAGAATTAAATGGTTTCGCCGTCTTATGAGAATGAAACCAACAATGCCAGCAGCAAGAGCGTACAACCTAAAAATCGAAACGCCAAGAGTCAGGGGAAGACCGAGACACATAAGGATCGACGGAGTCACTGATGCCTTGAGACTGCATAACATCACGCCATATCAAGCGACCGAGTGCACACTGGCTAGGCCTCCGAGTGTCTGATAAACTGCGACGCCTAGTGGCATAAACAGATAACAAAAGAAAGAGGAAGTCAGAAACATATTTATGGGAGAAACACTAGAATTTAATCATCCTTGTGCGAAATTTACGGAACTTCTCATTTTTGTATTTGCAAGTACATTCATCAATTTATCGAAAGCGAAACGGACTGCTATGTCTGACGCTACAGTGAGTTCCCAAACATTGTTCAGCTGCTCCTCATTTCTGTGCTGTCAGTAAGTAGTACTTGATACGTTTCAAAACTGAAAATGAGCTTTCAGCAGAGATGTTTGCTGCTGGAGTACAGCTGTAAATCATCAGTTAACATTTGGCTAGTTAGTTGCGTATCCTTTACAGAATGTTGCAGGACCAACCACAGCATTTCTTTGCTGTTGTGGTTTTTCTAGGCAAGTTTACGTCCAGTAGTTTGCCATTGCTTACTGGACGGTCGGCTTCTCGATACCACTGTCGAAACCAATGCAAGTCGCAAGGCCCTCAGCTGGAATCGAACCCAGCACCCCGGCATTACAAAGCGCGTTCGTAACGCCTAAGCCACAGACATTTGGCTAGACATCAATAATTATTGCTAAAGCCAATGACAGAGAAACTGAAGAGATGACAGCCTGTCACCCACCACCTTCTTTCTTTCCTGACAGCAGACGGTTTTTAGAATGGCTGCGCTCTTTCCCAAATTTGCTCTTTATGGTGGAATCGTAAATGGCTAGAAGTTTCTCGTCACCATCATCAGTTTGAGGGAAATAAAAATATTAAATTATAATCTTTGTAGGCGTTCATTCTCTTCCTAAGCTCGTTCTAAAGAGTTTGTGTGATCTTTGAATTTGATGACATTTTCTTCTTCAGAAATAGGCATTCTCTTTGAAGCAGTCTGATTTTGTTTCTTCTAAAGGGCTTTCTGGTTAAGCTTCTAGCTTAAACAAATCATCCACAAACCTCGTACGTTTAAACTGACGCTTTGGTTTAAAATCGCAACTGCTAAAGAAGATTGAGCTGTTTCCATGCTTCTGATGTGGGTAAGTTTCTTTTCAGCTGAATCTCGATAGATGTGGAAACGAGTCTGAAGCTCAGTCACAAACATAGTGAGAGAGCCATATATTTCAACAGCAGTGAAAATGTCCACAAACCCACACTGATATCATCAATGCTAAATCTGAAGATCATCGCCTTCTGTTCTAACCCTACCCGGTTATTTTCTTTAATCCGACCAGAGTTACCTAACAATAAAAGCAATTCAAATAATACATTATTTTTGAATACTATTTATGACTGGCTGGTGTCCAAATTGTCATGTTGCACATGCCAAGATACGGAAACGTTGACCAGTGAACTCAACATGAGTAACTGACATGGAGGCTATGACCTGACCTCACCTTTTCGATGGACTTGACCTAAGGCAGGGATGTCATCCTGGTGGTAGTACTCATAGACTGAGGTGCCAAGAAGCTCTTGTGGGAGGTAGCCGAGAATAACCGTTGCCCTGACAGAGTGGTACACAACAAAACAGTCAGTCATTTGTGAGAATGTATAATCAGATATCAAATACACAAGGGTGTGACTTCCGGACACTATTGAGTGGGGATGGGGGTGGGGATGGGGGGGGGGGCATAGGAGTAGATCAACCCGCTGCCCTACTTTATGCAGGTTGAAGACTAATAATTGTCAGCATGTGCCATTGCATGGTCTCGGCCAAACAACGCATATATCGTTGCCTAGCTCTGCACGACAAGTCAGCTGACATGTGCCCTATTAATGTCGAACATTTAATAATAATAATAATAATAATAATAATAATAATAATAATAATAATAATAAGAAGAAGAAGAAGAAGAAGAAGAAGAAGAAGGGGAGGATGAAGAGGAAGAGAATAAGGAGAAGAAATACACTGTCAGTTATATCTTCCATTCTGAAACAGTATCAACATTATTCTTTAGTCTTCTAATCTATATCACATAAAATAGTATGTACATCAAGAAAGGAACAAGGTATAAGTGCTTCCACATTTTGGCAGTAAAAGATTTTCAACACACTTCCTCCTTGTAAACACAAAAAATAGCACAATTTATTGTCTGGCATATTTCTCTGTATGTAGTAACAATTAAAAAAGAAGAAACTAAAATACAACTACCTACGCTCAAATGTAATGGTCTGTTTCGCCAGGGTAAAATCAGTTTCTTCATGGACAATGCGTTATTGGAAATCCAAAAATGGTGAAACTATGGTGGTGACTGCAGTCAAGCTAATACAATGAATACCAGAGAAATTGGACTAAAAAGCTCAACAAAATGGGAAAGAGGAAAATGTGCACAAAACAACACAACGTTAACGTTATTGGAAAGTGTAGCCGGAGTTAAAAAGGTAACGCAAGATGGACTAGACGTAAAATGTTCCACGCTCACAGCAAAGCATTTATAGAACTATTTTTTTTTTTCGTTTGTATGCTTATTTTATAAATCATCTAACAAATGGCAGCCGCAATAGTGTAGCGGCTACGTGCCCGCCTGCAGACCGGAAGGTTGCTGGTTCAGATCCTGAGAGAGTCGCACTTTATTTGTTTCTTAAAAATGACATTTGCTTCAGTGTCTTTCTTCTCTTCTGCCTTTCTATCCCCCAATGGAGCATAGGCCCTCAACCAACTCACGCCAGCTCCTTCTATCCTTCGCCATTGCATGGAGCTCTCCCCATGCCCTCCCCATCTTTCTAACTTCATTCTCCAGCTCTCTTTTTCGTGTGTTTTTTGGCCTTCCTTTATTCCTTTGCCCCTGTGGGTTCTAATGCAAAGACATTCTAATTATGCTGTTCTCCTGTTTTCTAAGTGTGTGTCCTATCCAATGCCAGCGTCTTTTCCTTACCTCTTGGTCCACTGGAGCCTGTTTAGTTCTCTCCCAAAGCTCCACTTTAGTTATTCTATCATAACATTTAATTCCCTCTATTCTGCGCAGGTACCAGTTATTGAATGAATGTAATTTATTAGTAATTGCCTTAGTTGTTCTCCATGTTTCCGCACCATACAAAAGTACTGATTTGACATTATAATTAACAATTTTTAGTTTAGTATTTCTTGTAATTTCTTTTGACCTCCACAAATTCCCTAGTGCTATGAAAGCCCCTCTTGTCTTGTGTATTCTTATTTTGATATCTCTATCAGTTCCTCTATCTTTATCTACATTACTGCCCAAATAGGTGCATGACTCCACCCCTTGGAGTGGGATGCCATGAAGAGAAACAACATTACTATTTGCCTGATTTATTCTCATTATTTTTGTCTTTCCTTTATGGATTTTCAGACCTAGCTGATTTGATCTCGCATCAAGTATATTTAATTTGTCTTGCATCTGATTCCATGAATGAGGCAGAAGAGAAATAGCAGCGAAGTTCAGATCATCAAGCTGTTTTGTAGGGGTCCACGGAATTCCATTCTTGGTGTTAGCAGTTACTGTTATCATAATCCAGTCTATCATCATCATCATTAGGTGCCTTGCCGACTGGCGTGGACGATCATGTCTCTCCATAATCTGCAATCTCCTGCAGCATGTATCAGTTCGTGTGCCGATACACCTCCATGCCATGCAACAAGACTGTCAAGCATCTTTCCTGGTTGTCTTCATCTATTCCTCCTTCCAGAGATGTTTCCAGTGGTCACAACATGTTCTATTTTCACTCTTCTCATAACATGGTCAGTACAGGATCTGTTTGACCGTAAACCTGCCTGTTCATCTCTTAGCTTTTTATCAGTAGCATCTTTTAATCTTTCTAAAATCTGCTAAATATTTATCTAAGAACTGACAGCAGCATCATTCTTCTATAGTTTTCACACTCCTGTAGATTGCCTTTTTTTTTTTTTTTTGCAGTATCACAAGACATCCTTCTCTCGAGTCTGCTGGTACCTCTTCGGTCTAGACTTCAGTGTCAACCCAGCCTTAAATTGGTACCAGGCGAATTCATGGGAAGTAAAAGCAGACGGCGGGATGTTGACCACGTAACCGACTGTGTGTCCAAAACGCATAAAGGTGTGGTAAATGTTCCTTTACTTTCCCTCTTACAAATCCATTAGCCATTTACAGTGAATTTGTATCTAGCTGAGTTTTTGTGTGTTTTTGACATCTTCTGGGTTCAGTGATCCGTTTACACCAGTAGTTCTCAAACTTTGGTCCCTTTGTCCCTATACGTCAGAAGTAAACTCAATCCTCCTTTGTCCCTATACGTCAGAAGTAAACTCAATCCTCCTTTGTCCTTATACGTCAGAAGTAAACTCAATCCTCCTTTGTCCCTATACCTCAGAAGTAAACTCAATCCTCTCCCGTAACGGAGGTAGGCTGCAGTGGGTATCTACTGTTTTGGGACAATTACACCTAGAGATCTCAATTTGTTACACATTGCCATTCTTGGACCACTCACCAAGCTGAAAACCACAAGAACGATCTTTCGTTTAATCCCTTCCCCCTTCCATCAGGGATTCGAACTCTGGTAGGTCTAGGATTAGACAATGCATTCACTAAACTTTAACAATTGTCGGAGTAGAGATGATACAAGTTGAGAGAATCGTCCTGATGGCATACACGGGTTTGATCTCACACTACCAAGTCTCTCTCTCTCAGGTAAGCCAAGCTAGTCTCCAACCGAAGCGGCCACATATAGCATAAGAAGCCTTTATGTTCCTAAGTATGTCTGCCTTGATAAGTAGAATCCAAAGAAAACACAGAATACAGAATAACAGTTATTAGCACACGAGGGCCAACTATTTATATTTTGAAATCTACATATTTAATGCGAATTTAAAATGTACAGTCTCGAACTGAGAATTGTAATGGTTATCGTCTTCTTCTTCTTCTGCCCAATATGGCAGATAACCTCCACCAACTCAAGCCATGTCGTTCGATCCGTCGATGTTGTATGTAGCTCTCCCCATGGCTAACTTTACTCTCTAGCTTCCTTCTCCGCATGTTTTCCGGTATTCTTTTACTTCTATGCCCCTTTGGGTTCCAGTGAAAAGACTTTCTAGTTATATTGTTCTCAACGTGTGCCATACCCAGCTCCAGCGTCTTGTCTTCACCTCTTGGTGTCCTGGAACCTAAGTGTTATATTAAAAACACATTCTAACAACTTTCTGAGAGCTTCCAGGCTCAGCGGTTAAGCTGTTCACCTTTCGCCACGAAGGCCGTGGTTTCGTGTTTCTACTGCGTTGGTCAGTTCATCAGTGTAATTCTGACAAAGGTCCCTGCAGACCTGCGCTGATGCTGCGCGGTTCGTGCCTCTTACAAGGCTTACAAGTGCTTACCGTTCCACGGACACAGATCGCACCGCATCAGATAAAAATAGGTGCAAAGAAGTCGATTGTTTTGACTGCACCACCTTTTAAAACTAATTAATTAACAGACGAAACCTAATTACACTTCATTAAACAAATGCGATAGAGTGACAACTTTGATTAGATTTAGTTTGTGTAGACAGATCAATATTTGGACAGTCTGGGTCTATGACCAGACGCCTCCCCCCCCTCCCCCCTTAACCACCATCACACTCAAGCTTCTGAGAATCAACATTTCCACTGCTGAGAACTGTGGCCTGAGATCGCTCTCCTCTTCAGATTTCCTTACTACGGGTCTGTTTCACTGGACCCATTGTGCTTGGACACCTGAAGACTTTTGCTCACTATGTCTTTGTGAATTGGTGGGATGGGGGAGGGAGCTCAGTTTCCTTCTAAATGTGTAAAGGGGCGGGATGCAGGAGGGAGCTCAGTTTCCTTCTAAATGTGTAAAGGGTGGGATGGGGGAGGGAGCTCAGTTTCCTTCTAAATGTGTAAAGGGGTGGGATGGGGGAGGGAGCTCAGTTTCCTTCTAAATGTGTAAAGGGGCGGGATGCAGGAGGGAGCTCAGTTTCCTTCTAAATGTGTAAAGGCGTGGGATGCGGGAGGGGGCTCAGTTTCCTTCTAAATGTGTAAAGGGGTGGGATGGGGGAGGGAGCTCAGTTTCCTTCTAAATGTGTAAAAGGGCGGGATGCAGGAGGAAGCTCAGTTTCCTTCTAAATGTGTAAAGGGGTGGGATGGGGGAGGGAGCTCAGTTTCCTTCTAAATGTGTAAAGGGGTGGGATGGGGGAGGGAGCTCAGTTTCCTTCTAAATGTGTAAAGGGGTGGGATGGGGGAGGGAGCTCAGTTTCCTTCTATATGTGTAAAGGGGTGGGATGGGGGAGGGAGCTCAGTTTCCTTCTAAATGTGTAAAGGGTGGGATGGGGGAGGGAGCTCAGTTTCCTTCTATATGTGTAAAGGGGCGGGATGGGGGAGGGAGCTCAGTTTCCTTCTAAATGTGTAAAGGGGCGGGATGGGGGAGGGAGCTCAGTTTCCTTCTAAATGTGTAAAGGGGCGGGATGGGGGAGGGAGCTCAGTTTCCTTCTATATGTGTAAAGGGGCGGGATGGGGGAGGGAGCTCAGTTTCCTTCTAAATGTGTAAAGGGGCGGGATGGGGAAGGGAGCTCAGTTTCCTT